GGGGGTAGGAGGCTAAAAGAAAGAGCAGTGTTCAAAATCTGCTGTGTTCTCCTGGTCCCCTTGAGGGTCGGGGGTGGATGACCTTGTGTTTCTTGGGGGAAAAAAATTAGGATGAGCGGAGAGATATCTGCCTTTGCGTAGGAAAGAACATATAATTTTGAGACTAAAGACCTATGCAGTGTGGATCTATGTGATCTTGATCACATTCGTTACTACCCCTCAGCTGTAAGATGGAAATGACAATCCCTACTTTGCAGGATTTTTGTGAGGATTAAATAAGATAATTTATGTGGACATTCTTTGTAAACTGTGAACTTTCTTACGTTGTTACTGTTGTCATTATCAGCATCCTGTGGCTCCTCTACTTCTTCTGACAGGGAGTTAGGGCGACTCCGGAGTGTGATTGAGCTGGATAGCCCCTCTGTGACTGTAGAGCAAGTAGCTGCCATTGAGCAGAGCGTCAATGAAAAAATCAGAGACCGGCTGCCTGTGAATGTGCGAGAACTGAGCCTAGATGATCCTGAGGTGGAGCAGGTGAGGGGAGAGCCCGTGGGGTGGCTTCTGTAGAATGGCCCTCTGGGGGCTCCTCATCAAAATTCAGACAGCCCTTCTCCCTCCTCTGTGTTCTAGGTGAGGGGCCGGGGTTTGCCAGATGACCACGCTGGGCCCATTCGAGTTGTTACCATCAAGAATGTTGATTCCAACATGTGCTGTGGGACCCATGTGAGCAATCTTAGTGACCTTCAGGTAGGCGAGGAGGGGCTTCTGAATGGTTAGGAAAGAGGGTGTCAGGAGTGTGGGATCACAACAGGGTTGGGAGGGGTAGAGGGGGACAATTGGGGAGTCCTGAGCAAAATCACTCTTTTGTTGCTTCCCAACTGAGGGGGAGGTCTAGGTGTCTCCGACCCTTGTGTCCAGCACCCACTGTGTTTTCTGTGTGTGTGTGTGTGTGTCGCCTCCTTGCCTCATGTAGGTCATTAAAATTCTGGGCACTGAGAAGGGGAAAAAGAACAAAACCAACCTGATATTTCTGGCTGGGAACCGCGTGCTGAAGTGGATGGAGAGAAGTTATGGAACTGAAAAAGCATTGACCACTCTGCTTAAGTATGCCCCCTTCTGTTGTCTCCTGTTTCTCAGGACCTGGACACCCGGGCTTAGCTTTCCTACCTGTAAGGCAGACAGAATAATCTGTCTCTGGGCGGTAAGATGTGATCATAGATGACAAAGTGCAGTGGACGAACGCCCAACACCAAAAGCAGTGGGGAAGCTGGGCAGCTCTCCACGGGCCTTTCACTTGCAGGTGTGGAGCAGAGGATCACGTGGATGCCGTGAAAAAGCTGCAGAACTCCACCAAGCTCCTGCAGAAGGTGGTTATTCCCTGGCGGGTAGAGAGCGTGTGGGCTCTGCCTGGAATAGGTCCTGGGACTTGGCCCTCCGCCCAACCAGATGTGTTAGAGGGAGCGTTTGTCAGAGGGGAGAGTGGGGAGAATGAAGTGGAGGGAAGGCGGTGCTGTCTTGTTATCCTTCCTACCTGTCTACTCAGTTCTGGCATCCATTTCAGAACAACCTGAATCTGCTGAGAGACCTGGCTGTGCACATTGC